TGATGTTTAGTTAAACCATAGGTAATATAAAGAAATGGACCCTACTGAAAACTACCCCTTCCTGCCCTCTCTTCCTTCTCTCTACCAGTTACCCACAGTGTTAGATTACCCTGCTATTAAGTGATTGTGTTTTGTAAAATTGTTTGATATCAACTATCAAACAGTTGGTTGTGGCCCTTGGGGCAATTAAAAATGTGATTGTTCTTATTTGCATAAACATGACCTAATATGTGTCTGGAAATACATGACTGTTACCACCAGACTGTTTTGCACATACAAAGAAAATAGACTACCTATTTAATAAGTAATGCAAGGAAATGCATGCGACTAAACATACCATTCTGGTACTAGACTTGTACCCCAGTAAATATATTGCATACTATTCTCCCACTTGAAGCCTATTCTCATAATGCATGACTGCTGTTTATTTACTTTTACAATGTCCTTTTGTGTATTATACAAAACCCTTTAAAAACAATAAAAATTGTCAAATTGCAAAAGAAAAAAAAAATCCTAAATGAAGTCAGGAAGAAATCACGGGATATCTATCACCTAGAGTTGCTGTAGCTCTAGTGCTTCTAGTGCAGGTGGAGTCTACCTGTATTTTTAATTACTAGCTAAGGTTCTCTCTGGAATGGAATCAGTGAGCTAAAACCTGCATGAGACCTTTGCAGGGATCATAAAATGGCACATTATTTTATCTGTTGTCCATTCCCAGTGTTTTCATAAACTCTTATCTTTTTTTTGCTAATTTGCATATGACTAGCCTCTCCCTAAGTCCAAAGGGTAATCCAGACATGGTCCTATTCTCTGATTATGCCTGGGTGGGTTTCAACCTCACCATATTGACGAGGACTAAAGGAGACCGGAATGTTTGCAGAGGGTGTCTGTTGGTATTTAGGATCTGGATTGTCCTTGTGAGTGGGATCAGTCTGATATGTGACTGGCTAAGGTTATTCTGTAATGACACAAGTGAGCTAAAACATATATAAGATACCTGAAAGGGGACCCACTGAAAGAGGAGGCTAATAAAACTGTTGTCAGTTCTCAGAGTTCTCATTTGCTTTTTTTCCCTTCAGTTAGTAGGCCAAACCAGAATATAAAAAAAGAACATTATCACTATTCATAACAATAAGGGAAGTGTTACAGCCTGATGCAAGATTGCAATAAAAGGGATTTTCAGTCTGCTCCTCAGTTATTATTATATGTAATTCTATGTTCTGAAGAAATACATTTGCAATAAGCTATGTAGCCTATCAAATTGATCCTAATATTTTACTTAGTTAATCCCTTTGTGATGGAACCTTACCATGCACTTTGTTGCCACTAATGCACTTAGCTATGGCATACAGAAAGCAGAGTCCATTGGAATAGCAACCAAAGCTCAGATCTTGCCAAATGCAGCAAAACCTAGCTACTGCTGAACTCCTGACAACAAAGGGAGTCAAGTAACAGACCTGAACCACGATGTCAAAGCAAACAGATGCCAGCCGTAATAGTGGAATACCAAATGCAACCATGGCATATACCAGGCTATTGATGGACGTCTCAAGCAGTTTAGACATCCAGCAGTAGTCTTTCAGAGCTTCTTCTAGGGCAATATCCCAATCAGGAGCTGCTCTACTAAACAGTGCAAGATTGGGTTTAATGGAGGGGTTCGTTAGGATGGCTAGTAGGGTTCATTAAAGTTTGGGTTAGGGCTAGCAAGAGTTAACTAGGGTCATGGTTTGAGCTGGTTAGTGTTAGTCAGGGTTATTTTAGACATAGTTAGGATTAAGGTAAGATAGAGTCAGAGTTATATATGGTTACAACTAGCATCAAAGTGTGACTCACTTGTCCTATGTTGAAACTGATAGCATCGCTTTAA